AGGGCGGTCCAGGTGGCGTTGCCGGTAACGCTTTGGCCGGTGATGATGGAAACCTTGGCGGCGGTGTCGAGAGTCGCAACAAAGGCCTTGGCCTTCTGGTAGGCATCGTCGAAACGGCCGAGGGAGACTATTGATGACAGGTTAGGTATAAGTGAAAAACTTCACTTATAAGAGATGTAAGTACGTACCATATCCGTCGGCGAGAATGGCGTTGGTGAGGGTGGAAGAAGAGTTGGAGGCAGCAAATGCAGAAGAAGCGAAAGAAAGAGCGGCGAGCGCGCCCGCAGAAGTAGAAACCTTCATGCTGGGCAAGAAAAGCGAATGTCTAATAGTGGTTGAAGCAAAAGAATGAAACTGGTTGATGGGTGTTCATCTCAAGTCTACATCTTGGCGAAACGTCTGAACTTATATCAACGTTGTGTTTCCATGTTTTCCCATGTTTCCTCCTGTTTGCTCCTGTTTCCTATGGATTGCAGTTTCATGCTCCGCCGTCATCGTTGCGTGGCCGATGGGGCGATAGCGCCGACGTCCCGAGTTTACCTCCGTAGTTCGTGGTGATGATGATCCACGGTGAGCCCCATCCATCGGCGAAGTTCCACGACCCGGCATGTGGGGGATGCTCCCGGACACCGGGCTCAGATCTCGGCCTTATTCTAAGAGGTCTTGTCCATTGACAAAAGAATTCACCTCGATATTGTCGAAATCATATTCAATGGAATTATCAAAGCTCATTATATTTTCTGTATATTTCCTAATGATTTGAGGACTATTGTACGCTGAGCTGTTTACTATCACAGCTCTGGTGTTGAAGTTTGTAAGCGGCGGCGGGAGGCGATATCGCGCGTCGCTAAGAGACTCACGATAAATTAAGGCTGCGAAGCGGGCCACATCTGAGCCACATCTCTAATGGCGTTTAAGTGTCTTTATCATGGAGACTCCGATTTCCCAGGGTCAAATGTATGCGAGAATTCTTTTCCAGGGCAGCGGAAAACCCGGGACCCATACCGGGAAATCCGAACTCTACGTGGGCGACGCGTGGCTGTCTCCGTAGAGGGACCTCGAATAATGCTATTCCCTGCTCGACGTACTAGAAAGTTAGAAACTCTGCAATCGGAGCCCATGGACTTGGGAAAGGGAACTAAAAGAAGCGGCCTCGCCCTTGGGGGCTACCGGGCTAGAATGCGCAATGTTCTAAAAGGGGTATTTGTCTGCTCGCAGATCCCGGAGGCGATCTTGACATCTGCGAGCTAAACCACGTGGATGGTAGCATTGGGCTATCACAATCATAATTCACAAGTGCGCCATTTTGCTTGGCGATGTTATCAGATGGACAATGGTAGCTGAAGTGTTGGACTCTTGAGTTCCAAATCTCGGATCTTGATGGAAGCTGATCCGTCAGCCCAGCCAGAGGCGTTGAGATACCTCACGGTCTGCCCACTACGGCTGGATATCTAGACCAGTGCATGTGGTTACGCGGCAAAGCTTTGGGTGCGTCCGAGGGGCTGATGATAGGGTGACAGTGAGTCGATGGCGAGACATAGGGATAAGAGGGCGGGCGAGGCCGACATCAACAATCAAAACTTTACATGGTACCCCCCACTCAATCTTTGACAGGAGTCGCCGCCATGCCGCTTCTTCACTTCCAAAGTTCCTAATCGGCTTGGAGAGAGTCCCGCCGGCACAACCACTCCGGAGCCCCTGACGTTGGTGATAACTGTTGACTGTTATGCAGATTGTTCCACATTGAAAGCTTTTGAGCCACAGCACCGCCTTGGACCGGATGAACGGCGTGTGAACCCGAACATGCGTCTTGGGATCCGACTCTAGAATTAGAAGAGGGCGGCTGCGCAGGCGATGAACTAAAACCTAGGCACGGCTCTAAGAACGGGCGAGCCGCATCGGCCGGACATAAATCTAGCCCCCCGGCCAGCTTCAAGGGCGATAACCGAAGCTTGGCGATTTTGAGAATGCTTTAAGGAGCACGAATGCTCCGAGCGGCGATGCATACGTCACCTGCACTGCGTTGGCTCTCACCTTTTCGCATATTTTGCACTCTACCTAGACTTGTAGCCCGCGATGTTGTTAGTGCTGAGCAGAGCCAGTGCTGAGTTGATGCATTTGAATTATATGGCCTAAAGATCCATAAGCGCCAGAGAGAATAATTCATACCATCAAAGCTCTTTCACAAAGCGCGTGTTTGAGTTAGGCTGGTTCTTCTTCCTATTCTGCCACGGGAATGATCGGTGAGCATTCTCGGTGTGCCTGCAGACCTTGGTCCGTGACTGGTGAGTCTCGGTAAGAAATTGCGCAACTTGCTGTGCTCGGTGTGCTCGGTGTGCCTGGTGTGGAGCCAATCGGGCGGGCTCTCAAGGTGCCTTAGGCGCCGGCGATTGCATCATCCCGGCCGAGACGCTCGACAATGCCGAGCCCGGTGCTTGCGACTTTTACGCCTCGTTGTGCATCATCGCCGCGTTTGACACCCAACCACGTACAATCCGGTTGCCGTTCCCCTCCCGCATCATCCGGAAACCACGATTGGCCTCATGTTTGCTGTCTGAATTCTTCAATTGTGGTGAGTTGCGCCAATCTCCGTCCACCTATACCCGTGATCGGATCGTTTATCGATAGCTCGGCTCAGCCCCCTTCACCCCGCCATTCGCTGACACGTCTCTCACCGCAGACCCCACGAGAAAGATGATCGAGTTGCGGCGCAGGGCACGATTACGATGATCATCCGAGCCGTCACCAAGACTCCTTTGGCCTGCCCTCGAGGCATCTCCCACACCCAATTCTACCGACCGGCATGGCTTCCTCAAAGCCCCCGGGCCCCCATCCGCATCTTCCAAACGAGTGCACCTTCGAGACGCGACCAACCCAAGCCGCCGACGACGGCAAAGATCGATAATGGCGCCGACAAGACCACGGCACAGCTCTCCAAGGCAGAACCTGCCAAGGCGAAGAAGAGTACGGCCGTCGATCCTCTCGCAACGCCAGAAAAGTCTACACAGGAGCAGCGCAAGGCCGACTGGGCCATCATGAAGGAGATGTCGCGATACTTGTGGCCCAAGGACAGCTTGAGCACAAAGTTCCGCGTCGGACTGGCTGTTTCCTTGTTGATTGGCGCAAAGGTCCTGAACGTGCAGGTTCCCTTCTACTTCAAGAGCATCGTGGATTCTATGAATGTCGACTTTGGCGCAACCGGCGGCACGGCGGTGACAATCGCGGGGAGTATGATCTTGGCATACGGTGCGACGAGGATAGGCGCCACAATCTTCCAGGAGCTCCGAAACGCCGTCTTTGCTTCCGTTGCTCAGAAGGCCATCCGGCGAGTCGCTTGCAACGTCTTTGATCATTTGCTGCGGCTGGACCTCAGCTTCCATCTGTCCAAGCAGACCGGTGGACTGACAAGGGCGATTGATCGCGGTACCAAGGGCATCAGCTTCTTGCTGACGAGCATGGTCTTCCATATTCTCCCCACTGCACTGGAAATCTCGATGGTCTGCGGTATCCTGACGTACCAGTATGGCGCCAAGTTCGCCGCTATTACGGTGCTCACCATGGTTGGATACACGGCCTTCACCATCTGGACGACAGCTTGGAGGACAAAGTTCAGGAGACAAGCAAACGCGGCCGACAACAAGGCATCGACAGTTGCCGTAGACTCACTGATCAACTATGAGGCTGTCAAGTACTTCAACAATGAGAAGTTCGAGGTCGCGAGATACGATCAGGCCCTCCAGGTCTACGAGAAGAGCTCCATCAAAGTCGCAACTTCGCTAGCCTTCCTCAACAGTGGACAAAACATCATATTCTCCTCGGCGCTGACAGCCATGATGTATCTGGCTGCTAACGGTGTTGCCCAAGGCACGCTTACTGTCGGTGACCTCGTCATGGTCAACCAGCTCGTGTTCCAGCTCTCCGTACCCCTCAACTTCCTTGGTTCCGTCTACCGTGAGCTTCGCCAGTCATTGCTCGACATGGAGACACTGTTCAACCTGCAAAAGGTCAACGTCTCCATCAAGGACGCGCCCGACGCCAAACCCTTGGCTCTGTCCAAGGGTGGACAAATTAGATTCGAAAACGTCACCTTTGGCTACCACCCCGATCGCCCCATCCTCCGCAACCTGTCACTTACCATCCCGGCTGGCAAGAAGGTCGCCGTCGTCGGTCCTAGCGGCTGCGGAAAATCTACCTTGCTCCGACTCCTCTTCCGTTCGTACGACGCGCAGTCTGGCCGCATCTTTGTCGACGATCAGGATATTCGCCAAGTCCAGGTGGACTCTCTCCGCCGGGCCATTGGCGTTGTTCCCCAGGACACTCCGCTTTTTAACGACACCATCGAGCACAACATCCGATATGGCGACATGTCAGCACCCCCGGAGCGCGTCATCGCCGCCGCTCAGCGCGCACGCATCCACGAAATCATTGAGCGGTTCCCCGATGGATACCAGACGAAGGTGGGAGAGCGTGGCTTGATGATTTCCGGCGGAGAGAAGCAGCGTCTGGCCGTCAGCAGACTCCTTCTCAAGGACCCGCCTCTGCTCTTCTTCGACGAGGCCACCAGCGCGTTGGATACCCACACCGAGCAGGCTCTTATGCTCAACATTAACAGCATTCTTCGTGAAAAGGCACGGACCAGTGTATTCGTAGCCCACAGACTGCGCACCATTTTCGACGCGGACCTCATCATCGTACTGAAGGAGGGTAACGTAGCCGAGATGGGTACCCATCGTGAACTTATTGACAGGGGCGGACTCTATGCTGAGCTCTGGAGTGGTAAGTCGCTCGCCTGCATTGGTGGTGATAATCTGACTGACGTCTTGTGTAGCTCAGGAAACCCTGTTCGATGCCGATGGCCAAGAACGCGAGCAACCAGAGGAGGATACGAAGAAGCCACCTGCGGCACGCTAAAGATACCATGTCCATTCAGTTTTTTATTCGAGACCATAGCAAGCATCCCGCTTTACCTCAACCTAGAAACTGCCTCTGCTTCGTGAATGCTATGGCCGAAAGAGACTATCGTCCGTCTTCTTCCTAGGAACTCTGCCCTTTCGCCGCCGCTGCCGTGCGGATAGATACGACATTCGATACCTCCACCCGGTGACGCTGGCTCGTCCATGATTTGGCAACCAGGTATCTTTTGGTTCCGCCGTACTCGTCCAAGTCGGTATCTCCTCATTCAAGAATTCATGGGGGGCTGTACTCTTGTCGGCCGATCTCAGCATCCCGTTTGCCCATCCCGCGATCATATCCCACTTGTAGCCATACAGAAATGCTAACCCTATGACCCCAAACGTGACGGGGAGGGCCGAGATCCAGAAGATCTTTTGGTCGTAGTTGGTATCTCTGATGTCGGTCGTATTCATTCCGAAAAAGCTCGTAATGAATGACCTAAATCTTGTGATCAGCCCCAAAAGTTCAACAACTCAAGGTGAAAGTTGACCTACAATGGCAAGAAGAACAAGGTAACTATGGTAAACACCCGAATCGCCTTTCCATGGCCCTCGTCAAGGATTTCGATTCTCTGCTTCGTCTCGTCTCTCAACACCCTCACCTTCTTCCGAAGAACTCCAAGCGCCCTATCGCGCTCCGCCAAGCGTCGCTGCTGTCTGCGCACGCACTTGCTCTCAAGTCTGAACAGAGATTTTCGTTCCTTATAGTAGATCCAGTCGGTCGTGGGGTACTTGAAATTCAATGGGGAAAAGAGCCTCTGGTACGCCCTCAATAGTCCTTGCTGCGAAGCGACCACCATCTGCAAAGCCTCCAACTCCTCTTCAAGAGCATGGATCTCTACAAAAGCCTGCCGCTTCGGCTTTCGGTTGGTGTTGAAACGGAGTTTGGCAGTGTGGTTCCGGTAGTGACTGATGAGATCGACCTTTTCGTTGGTGCCTCGCTTGGAGATGTTATTCTGCAGATTGCTGATCAGCGCAACTGCCAGGAACTCGGGGCCTATTGGTGCGATAATGATCCTGTCCATGTCACCTCTACTGGTTCCCAATAGGATGATGTCCTCTTTCGCTCGGTCGAGGTGATTGCGAACACGCTCTGAGATTGCTGCCGCATTCCTCTTGAGATCCATCAAGCGTCGCTCAGCATGACGGCCGTATAACGAATCAGGAGTGACAGTGAGTCTGTTCATCCAGGAAATCTCCTTAGCTTTCAGTACGAAAAGGCCAACGATCCGCTCAAAGGCCTCAACTAGGCTATTGGGCAGATGAGGTCGGCTGTCATGGCAGTTGACCGAGTCTCCCAGGCTAGTCACGCTCATGACCAGCTTGTGCAGCTCCTCTGTCCGGTCAACCATGTCTAGTAACTCTTCATAGAATAGCTCTAGACACGAAACCACTTCGTTCCTAGGAGCTTCCTTTGATCTGACAGTCCGGGATTCTTCGACTGTATGGCGGCGGATCCAAACGAAACAGGGATCATCAAATACCCGGTCCCCTCTCGCTTGGTGCAGACATGGAGTTCTCATGTGAACCTTGTGCCAATGGTCGAGTGCTTCTTCTGGTGACAAGTATCGTTTCACCTTGTCGCACTCATCGCAATCGCCTAGAGCTCTTGAGCCTGAGATTGAGGCTGACTCTCCTGGCGGAAAGGGGGTAGTAGGCCGTGTTATAAACCAGAAAAGCTGATCCGTTCCTTTCATCTCATCGATCGACCACTGAAGCCCCTGAAGGATGTTAGTTTAGACACAAACGTTTGCATTTTGCTTGAAGCCCTCACCCTCAATATTGCGTCGACTGAGCCCCAGTATCGTTTATAGACCGGATGATGGACGAGACGCCCCTCGTCGGGAAGAAAGGCGCTGAGCATACTTTGAGAAACGCTAAATATTCTCGACAAGAGGAATGATTCATGGTCCTCTTTGGAATCCATCAGTTTCCAAAGATCATTACCAGATCGGAGATCTTCGCTTGATGAATTGTGTATAGGGTGGCGGAAGTGTGTGTTGGGTTGAACCTTCGGGTCCAACTCATTTTCTTCGTTTTCGGTAGACCCAAACAACGTCGACGCTGGAGCTACAAGGCTTTCAGTAGACCCCTCATGTTCAATGCTGGTCTTTAGGTCTGGTTCCTGTAGATCGGCGTCAACTACAGAGTTTGAGCCTGGATTGACGTCCGGCCTCGAGTTAGTCTGCGCCACGCCCTCAGTTGCCTCTCCAGTTGGTTTGGGAGGAGATAATTGTAGCATGCTAGCTAGCCGCTGCGTAAGCTCGCCCTTGGTACATTCGAAAGAAGCCTTGTACCATTTTCCCATTCTATCCGACTCGATAGTCGCATTCAGATTACCCAGTAGCTGAGTAAGGGTCTTTTCAATCTCGGACTGTGATCTCTTGTCGTCGTCCCATGTTAGTCTCCAGGCAAGAAACGGTACAAAGTTGAGATCGCCTAGATCCAGTGGCGGTAAGCTTGTGGAGAGAAAACTTGTTCCAAATCCCCGATCGGGAGTTTGTCTGGTCCACGAGCCATTGAAAGAACTTGCGTCACTGCGTGTTCTTCTGAACTGCTCCTGATCAGTGAGCCAAGATGGAAATGGCTCTGCTTCTAAAGGAGATTCGCTGGCATAAGTAAAGCTTGGAGTTCTTGAACGGCTTCGACGTCGTCTATGACGTGATGCAGGAACGTCGGACGTGAGATTCGATCTCAAACTCCTCGTTGACATAGATCGAGTTGTTTGTCTGTGAATTCGTGGGAGAGTAAATCTTCTTTCTTCAACAAACTCGACATATGGCTGGCCAGGCTGTAATCGTGGGCTACCAGTCTGCACGAGGTGACCATTGTCAGCTTCATCTCGTCATGAAAATGATGTAATTACGTACTGTTTGACTCGTCTGATCCGATTCTTCTGTTTCCTTTTTAAGCTTGAAGAGCCTCGGGGCTTCAGCACCCTCAAGCGAGACAGATGACTCAAAGTTGGCCATGTTCCTCATCCTAAAGCTTGTTTCCGACATGGATGTAGTCAAGTCAACAGTGCCATCGAGTGATGAATTATCAACGCCCAAGTGTGAGTCAAATGACAGGGTTGAAGTTTCAAACGTGTCGCTTCCTACCTGGTCTAACCCGTCTTCTGAAGGGCTCGGAGAGTCACCACCATATTCCCACATACCGGGATGCAGTACCATCTGCATATCCATGTCGATCGGATTCATGTTTGTGGCTCTCGAGTCGGACCTGAATGAACTAGGTGAATGGTGGAGAATCATCAGTACATATGGCGCACAAAAACGTAAGATCTCATTCATATCCCACCTCCGGCGCGACGCTCTGCGGCTGCCCAGATTGCTCCTGCTCCCCGCAGTGAGGAGCTTTTCCGACAGGGCAAGGAATTCCTCATTGGGTCTCCGCTGCGCCTCGTGTTTCTCTCGGATTCCGAAGACATAGTCCTCGATCGTCTCGCTCGCAAGTAAGTTCAGCCAGATATCTGCTGTGATTATGCCCCAATAATCGTTGACTAGCACGTAAGCAGCTGCATTTACAGGACCTTGCCCCTTAAGTGCCAGTGCCACCGCATGCTTGAGGAAGTCCTCCAATTCTTAGTAAAATTCCTAGTAGGATGAAGCTGGTGTCAACCGTGAACTCACTGCATATTTCCAGTCAGCTTTAACGACAACATGATACCGACACATGTCTTGTTCGTTAATGAGCCTGACGGTGTAAAGTCCTGCAGATGATTTCGTCCGGTCAATCTTGATCAGATTTTGTTGTATCTCTGGCGACAAGAGTTCTGAGAAGGTGACGATCAGGTCTGATATAGTCAGGAAGTGTAAGCGAGTGCCTTATTTAGTAAATGGAAAGCTTACCTGCACCAACTATTAGGGTCCAAATTTGCGGAACCTTCAATTTGGGCGGTCCATCCTCGTCAAGCTTAAAATTTCGTCCTCGAGAGTCATTATTGGGCTGTGTTTCGTCGTCATAGCCATAGAGAACTTCTCGAAGACTCCTCATATAGTGCTTCCCGGGGAATTTTTTGGCAGAGCGCCTGTCGGTAAGAAGAAGATGAGATGAAGAGATGAAGACTACAGGTTCGGTATCAGAGGCGTCTTCGTCTGCATAGACCCCAAGTGAGCTGTTGTATCTCCCAATGTATTGGATCATTGAGCCAGGTTCGAGGTAAGAGCCATTTTCTGAAGATCTCTCACATTTCGCAGTGACTTCTTTGAGAACTGTAAGTGCTACTAGCCTAAGTGATTGGGATATATATGGACAGTCTGATATCAGAGTCTTTACTTGTCGGTCAGTGACCACGCTTTTGTGTTTGTGAAGTTGCTCACGATTGTTCAAAGCTTACCTCCATAGTCGCAACATTCAAGGACTCGGACTGTACGTGTCTAAGGTATCTCTTTGTCAGTTTTGACATTTGCCTCATGGTTTGGGTTATTCTCACAGCCATCTTAACCGAACAAGGGATTCATCTGTAGCCCCAAACTCGTAGTCTTCCGGGCAGGCAAGAGTGATCTTTTGGTTGCCGGCTCGATCCATATAGAACTCTGCTGCATACGCTGTATTGAGCTCCGTCTTAGCTCCATTAATGAGATCTGACTTTTCTTGATTCCAAGCCAGAAGCTTTCCGGCAGTAGAGTTCATGTCATTGTCCATGGACGATTTTGTGCTGTTCAGATTTAGAACCCCTGAGTAGATCACTGGACCTTCAAGATTGTCCCAGTCCCAATCCGTGTCATCTAGCGTCGGCTCTTCATCCTCGTTCCCAGAGAAGTCTCCGATTTCTCCCGTCTCTAGATGCGGCGTCTCTGTATCAGGGGCATTGACGTTGATCCAGTCAAAGCCTTGATCTTCATCTCGGGGGCCCGTCTCACCGCTATCGCCGACTTCAGAAGTCCCTTGATCTGAGCTTCGGATTCTGTTGCTGAGTTCAAGAAGTTCCTCGATGTGATTCTGTCCGAGCGCCAGCTGAACAACAATGGTGTCTCCATCTTCGGCAAAGGAGTATCCAAGATGTATCAATGCGCGCTTGGAAACAATCCGTGAAGGAATCCGCGTCGTGCCACGTTTTGGGCGAGAGTCACGTTGAAAGGAACTGACACTGGGCGTTGGTGACCGGGAAGGCGATTCCGGGGAGTCTGACCAATCATCGAACCCATCCTCTTCAAAACGGATCTGCTTGGGCTTGGTGGCCATGTTTGCGGCGGCAAGGGAGAGTTACTAAGCATGAAATGTTTTGGCGCTGGAAGCCGTTCGTTGGTAGGTCCGATGGCTTCCGCTACGCAAGGCTCAGAGGCCAACCCATCGCGGCGGTCAGTGATAATTGAAGCTCGATAATTTTAGTGCTGATGGATTTTGCGATAGCAATATTTCTCGCAGCCTTGCTTACTTAGGACGCTGCTTGAGCTAACCTCAGCTAGGGTTCAGCTTTGCAAGGGTTGCATGCATCATGACGCAGCTTCTGGTGCATTTCCTCCACACACCATTGTAGCATCGCGCTCATTCCGCCTGCTTAGAATGATGGCGGGAGATCACCAATATTTTGAAGGAGGGAGACGAAAATTTCTGCGTGCAAATTGGCGCTGAGGTCAAATCTAACTTGTTCCCGCGAAACCCAACAATATTTGCTTTCTAATGACAAGTAAGGGGCCAAGACAAGTTGCTGACTTCACATCCACTTTATTCAAATTCTGAGCAGCATATTGAGGTTCGAGTCAACACTTGTACGGATGGTCGACGCGTTGAGGATGGATACTTGTGGACTCGTCTAAGAAGAAGATGATAGCTTTCATCGGAACAAACAGCATTCGAGGCTTTCAACCCACACAACATCCAACAATTCCTCGTTAGGTTGTGAACTGTTAAGGTTAGATCGATGGAACCATGATGCTTCAGACTAGTTCAGCAGTGGCGCCCGAGTCAACTTCTATTGACTTGCGGCCCAAGGTGACGGCGGACAAAATCCACTGCCTCCGTACCATGTTTCGGCGGCATCACGTCGAGCCCGAGTCACCGACCCACTTGACGGAGATGTTTGTTTTCTCCGGCCGGCCACATAACGAGACATTTCTCAACGGCAAAGTCTCTATGATATATGCTAATCCAGATCATATAAGAATATGCCGTCTGAACTATCCTCGAATTCAACTTCCCCTTCTGTTTGTTCACACCACATTATACGTATTTAAATGCAGCTATACGTTACGGCATCTGAACTTAAGCAACAACACAGACACACACCAAGTTGCCACTACCGAATTGAGCATGTCGTTCATTGAGAACCCTGCTGTCCCTAAGGGATCAATTGCCGTGATCACTGGCGCTAATGGCTACATTGCGTCTCACATCGCAGACCAGTTCATTCGATATGGATATAAAGTCCGCGGAACGGTCCGTAACCCGAAGAAGAGTGCTTGGCTTGTCCCACACTTTGAGAAGAAGTACGGGGTAGGGAAGTTTGAACTACATGTGGTTCCTGATATGCAGGTTGATGGCGCGTATGATGAGGCTATCAAAGGTAAGTGCTGTTGTGGCCCTCGAGCACGGCGTCAAGCTCCGAGAACCCGCCCTGCTTCATGCATGCACTTTCGAGTGCACCGTTTTTATGTAGGATCATCTGACTAAATATCATAGGGGCGTCAATTTTCGTGCACACTGCTACCGTCATCGATTTCAACGGCGACCCAGCCGAAGTAATTGGAGGTGCAGTGAAATGCGGGATGGTCGCTATCGAGGCAGCATACAAGGAACCAAACATGAAACGGTTCATTCTAACTTCATCAGCCTCAACTCTCATGCCACTCAAGAAGGAAAACTTCTTTGCCCTGAAGGGTCAGACGGTGGATGTGGACACATTTGGTCACGACGCCAAGGAACTGGCTTGGGCACCTCCTCCTTGGGGTGTTGAACACGGCGGAGCGATTTACGGCGCGAGTAAGATGGAGCAAGAGCAAAACATCTGGAAGTTCTACGAAGAGAATAAATCCAATCGGCCAGATATCGTGGTGAACTCGAGTAAGTCGGCGTTCGATACTCTCTGAGGCAACATAGAAGAAGCCTCATTCATCACGCGACCGCACATGCTTACTCTCATCCTCTCTGCTAGTTGTTCCAGACTTCAACTTTGGAAGAAGCATCGACCCGTCTCAAACTGGAGGCTCGTCATCGTTCGGCCTCATTGTCGAACTCTTTGAGGGAAAGACTCTTCCTGAGCTTTGGCATCTTCCCCACTTCTTTGTCGACGTCGAGGATGATGCTGCCCTGCACGTTGCGGCGGCTATTCTGCCTGATGTTGAGGGTGAACGCATCTTCGCATTTGCCTACCCAATGAACTGGGACATTATCTTGGATATCCTTCGGAAGCAGAATCCGGGCAGGAAGTTTGCCGATAACTTCCACAATGATGAATATCCTGTGACAGTGAAGCCCATTGCGAGGGCAGAGAGCCTGCTGGAGAGGCTGGGCAGGCCGGGTTGGATCTCTTTGGAGCAAAGCATCGCGACCAACACCGAGCACCTGAAGACTCTGGACATTGCATAGACGGGTTTCAACGTGCCTCACAAGAAATCAGACGATATTCGCAACAATATGGGATGCGATGTGATGCACGATAACCGCTCGACCAGGGTCTTGGGACGTCATCAAGGGGAAGATGCTTACGCGCTTACACCCGTTCGTTCATAAGGACGCGGGCTGGGTGCACCCTGAATTAGCGCAATCCTTCGTGCGCACCTCACTGGCTGTATCGGAAACAGAAACGAGCGAGATGATTTGAGTGAAGATGCCGTTGTGTTTGCCATGTGCGGTGACTGTCCACGCGTTCCTGGCTTATGAACCCCTCATTGAGGATTAGCCAGTTATATGCATGTTTTCTTCGATCCTTCAGCTCGAACCTTGGCTATCCATGTTCATGACGAGTTGAACGAGCCTAGTGTAACATTCCCAATCCAGCGATACGCACCGGCAGGATAACTCAAAGCCAAACTTCGGATGATGGAATGGTGCGCCTCCGAGACAAAAACAACGGTCTATCTACCCCTCACCGACGCCACATCTCTTTTATCATCATCAAGTGCCTCACATATCTTTAGGGTAATAGTTGCCTGTTAGACAGCTGGCGATGGCTTCGACAAATACTTCCGAGTCATTTGGCAGCAACCAAGGACTCTTGCAGTCGCTCCAACAACATGCGACATCATCAATCATCACCTGGCTGTTGCTACCGCTTATTGGTATAGCTTTCCTGCGCCATGTCTTGCGACCAAAGGCAAACGAGCCTCCGAGCTTGCCGGGTCTCATCCCCTATATCTCAAACACATATCAGTACATCACCGACAACAGTAGATTCCTCGAGCGTGCCACCGAAGCACTGAAGAAAAGCAGCGTGGTGAAGTTCAACCTCGGCGCCGACACTGTGTACCTAGTTGCAGGCTCTCACAATGTGCAGAAGCTGTTTCGCAACAGCTCGAACAACACGCTCAGCTCGGATAAGTTCATCGTCATGGTCAATGGGCGGGTGCAAGGGATGACTGACGAGGACGTGGCGGTAATGTACAACGATAGATCTGGTCGTCTGAAGACCCCGGCTGCGGGAACTGAGAGCATGCCTGAGAATCAGAGGTTCTGGGTCGGCTTGCATCACGTCTTCAACGAGCACCTCTTTCGCGCCGAGGCTACTGCGAAGTTGGCGGAGTCGTTCATTACCTTTTTCGGCGAGAAGCTCGACCAGCAGCCCCGTGGTGAGTGGGAAACCTTGCAACTGTTCAAGTATCTTAAAAAGGATATGGCAGAAGCAGCGACGATCTCGCTTGCAGGGCGAAAGCTGATTGAGGACCATCCGGGATTCGTCGATATCTTCTGGGAATTCGACACGATTGCGATGCAGCTCATGTATGGCCTTCCAACTTGGATTAATCCAAAACCAAAACAGATTCAGCGCAAAACCCTAGCCATGATGTCAGACTTTCTGACTGATGCCTGGGCCAAGTTTGACTGGAACGGGCCCGATGCCGACGCGGACTGGGAACCGATCTTTGGCTCGAGACTCCAACGTGAGCACTCAAAATTTTGGGAGAAGAAAGGATTCTCGCTTCAATCGCGTGCTGGGATGTACATTGGAAGTATCACAGGGTATGAAACGCAGTTTCTCTCTGGTTGTGGAAGTAACCTGACTGACGTGAAAACTTCCGTGTAGCATCAACTCGAATTCCGTGCCCCAGACGGCTTGGGCTGTTATGGAAGTGATAAAGGATCGGTCGCTCTTCCAGGCGGTCCGCCAAGAGGTTGATTCGGTGTCCATCATTGATCCCAAGACTGGAAAGCGAACCTTTGATGTGGCAAAACTAGTTACCCTGCCTTTGCTTCAGTCCATTTACGTGGAGACACTACGAATGCACGTGTCCATCAACATCACTCGTGAAGTCATGGAACCAATGGAATTGGATGGGTATCATCTGAGTAAAGGCTCTTTGGTGCAGGCACCGACGCAGATTGGGCATCGTGAAGAGTCAGTGTGGGGTGTCGAGGGGCACCCTGCGTCGGAATTCTGGGCGGAACGTCATATCAAGTTTGTCGAGAAAGAGGATGAGGATGGCAAACTTCAGAGAGTCAAGGAGTTTGCCGTAGCCGGAAGACCGAGCGACTTCTTCCCATATGGTAAGCCGTATACACCCAGTCATCTCCATGGCCCTGGCTAATATACGTGTTGCAGGTGGTGGTGTGTCCATGTGCCCAGGGCGTTTCTTTGCTAAGCAGGAAATCATGCTGGCTGTCGCTATGATTGCGTCTCGGTTTGATATTGAGTTTGAAGATTGGGTCAACTTTGATGGGTCGCATTCGGAAAGGCCTCCTACGAATGACAAGGCGTATGTAGGTGCGGGAGCTGTACCGCCGGACAGAGACATGCGCATGCGCTGGAGGAAACGGTGGTAAGCAGTTTAGGATCCGATTGAATATGGGCATCTATTTCAGTGGATAATTTTGCGAGAACGCGTCGAATAGTGGCATAGATGAGCAAAGCCGTTGCGCACTATTTTGAGTTGGACGACTCAATCGATTGTACGTGCACATTGAGGGGAAGGAAAAGGATTGGAAAAGTGCCATTAAAATCATGATCATTATGAGTTAACTAATGAATACAACAAGGTATAGGTACAGTGCTCGCTTTCATCAAACAAATTCCTTAGTTCATACGGTAGACAGCATCCTTCTTGAAGTATCTGCTGATATCGTTGTCCTCGCCGCACTTAGTGCAGGTGTGAAAGACCTTGGCTCCATCATGTCCTGGGCCGTAATGGTCAGGACCCATTCCTTGGGGTCCCGGGCCGGTGGTGCCAGGGACATGAGAAGAGTGCGTACCTTGGTTCAGACCGGAAGATCCAGTGTGTCCTCCGAGACCAGTGCCAGCAACGTTGCTGTGGGTGGTGCCGTGAGTGCCGGTAGGAGACTGGTTGTAGGGATCGAGCATGCTAGTCTTGGGAACGCCGGGCTCGTTGCCGGTAAGGCTGGAGCGGTGCTGGTCATGGACGCCACCAGCGTGGGTGCCAGTGACACTCCCATGGGTTCCGGTGACGCCGCCGTGGGTACCGTGGGTGTTGTGCCCAACAGGAGAGTTAACGCCGCCAACAGTGTTATTGCCTCCGAGACCAGACTCATGCAAATCATCGCGGTGATGTCTGTGAGCAGCCTGGCCAGCAGCCACGGCGGCTCCAGCACCAACGCCAGCACCGATACCAGCACCAGCAGCTCCATGTCCGGTGCGCTCACGGCCCATGTCTCTGTCTCTCATGCGAGTGTCGTACGGGTCATTGACGTTGCCGCCGGACAAAGCCGCCTGGGGGTTGTGAGCAGCGCTGTGGACGCCGCTGTAGGGGTCACTGCCGGCACCGCCAACTCCAGCACCGGAGCCGTGGGGGTGAGTAAAGTCGCGACCCTCCATAGAACGGTCGACGCTGGACGCAGGGTCGTGGTGTGTTGACGCCGCGGGGTTGTAGTGTCCTCCACCGACGGCCTGAGGACCTCCATGGCCGACGGCAGATTCATTGGGGCGCAGGGGCAAGTCCTTGTTGAGAGCAGAGCCATCACGGCCGACGTCGCCCCAGTAGGGGTCCTGGGCGTTGGCGCGCTCAGCGTTGGCGAGGTACTCGCCCTTGTAGGGCTTGTTGTGGCCAACACCGTGGCCGACCTCGACACCGGAGTCATGGGGACGGTGGGTGCCAGTGACACCTGCGCCTGGCGCGCCGCGGTGGTCGCGGTCCGAATCAACTCTGGGATCCAGCTTGTTGGCGGCTCTGCCGGAGTGAGGACCGTGAACGCCATCGGGGTCGTTGTAGCCGGTGGTGGTGTTGCCACCGACACCTCCGACACCTCCGGTGGTACCGTGGGGGTTGCTGTGTAGACCTCCGGCGTGGCCGGTGCCGGTGGTGTTGTCGTAGGTGTTGTTGCCAGTCAGACCAGCAGTAGGAGCACCACGGTGGTCGCGATCGGAGTCGACTCTGGGGTCGAGCTTGTTGGCAGCTCTTCCTCCATGCGGGCCGTGGACGCCATCGGGGTCATCGTAGCCCGTGGTGGTGTTGCTGTATCCTGCGGTGTTGCTGCCGGTCAAGCCTCCAGTATGGCCGGTGGTTGTGCCGTGGGTGGTGCCGTGGGTGTTGCCGGTCAAGCCGGAGGTGGGCGCGTCGCGGTGGTCCCGGTCAGAATCCACTCTCGGATCGGCCTTGTTGGCTACTCTTCCGGCATGGGGGCCGTGAACTCCATCGGGATCATTGTAGCCAGTAGTGGTGTTGCTGGTGTGATGCGTGCCGGTACCGGTGGTACTAGGGATATGGCTTCCGGTAGTGCCGGTGGTGCCTCCGGTGTAGCCACCGGTTGTGGGCTTGGAGGTTCCGGTTGTGGTAGAGTCGGAGGGGAATGCTCCGGGTGGCTGGTCGCCCTCGTATGTGGTCTTTTGAGGGTGGTCGTCGCTGTGGAGGGCGTTCTTGATCTTAGCTCCCAAACCCATGATTCCTGATTGACTTATTGATGTTGTAGAGGTAGCAAAGAGTTATTGTAATAACAAAGTATAAGGTTCAAGGCTCGGTTTTCGGGGTATCAAAGTAGCTTGTGTTTTGTTGTTGGTATCAAATTGTATTGTGGAGGGTTCTTCTGAGTCGATTAAGCCGAGGGACAGAGAGCATCAAATACTGCTTCTCGACGCACGATGTTCATCCATTCTCGTCCAATAACCAGCGTGATGTCACCTTCGTCAACTTCTCTAGCCCAGAGGTCCAGACCGTCTTGCCGCCGTCTTCGCAGCATCAGCAGGCCATGTCTCAGCTCCGAATTTTGTTGCTATGAGCTCATGTGGAGTTCCACTGGCAAAAGACTCAGCTTCCGAGCGCAAAACTTCGGTTCGAGAAGCACCTTCATGACGGCGAGGGAGGGATTCATGACGTGAACTGCGGGGATGTGTGATCGAGCTTCCATCCGCTCCCGCAGTAGTGGAAGCTTGTCTCCGGTCTTGGCCGCGCTCCGGCACACGGATCCGAGGAGGTTCGCCCTTGAAAACAGGGAAACGGCCTCTCCACTCACGATGTGGGATGTCCCTCCATTGGCAGTCGTCATTTAGGAGGGGGCGCCACAAGGATACCCGCCATACGGTTACGTTACCCCAGGAAATTCAGGTTTAGCTAGTGCCACAGTGGCTGTCATATGTGGCGTTGTCTGATGGATGGGGATCTGCTGGGTGCAGTATTCAGTCTTGACGGTTCTGACGACTTGAGACCCAGTCAATGGCACCGGCTGACGCGGCGAGAGTCTCTCATTTGTCAAAGTCCTTGACAAAAATCCTGGAAATTGCACGGCCAACAATGGCAGCCTGTGAAGTTAGTGTCACTCAAGCAGAGAGGGGTTTGAGACGAGAATAGCCGATGACAGTTGTGTGGAGGTAAAGCCCAATTATGACGCGGTTGTGCAACCAACATGAAGATTAACGCAAACAAGCTCATTCTTCGTCCTTGAGAGCTGAATCTTACGCAAGATTGCGCGGAACCAGGAATATGAGGCGTTCAACACCGTCTGCTACGTGGATTCGAGACAATCGCCAGGCAAAGTCCCTGTCGTTGCCATGCTTCAATTGCCTGCCGCCTGTCTCTTCATTCTCTGGGTGCCTGGCCTTTGCGATCGCTTCTTCTGGCTGTGCCTTGTAAGCGCTAAGCCGTTAATCCATGTACCCTGCCCTGTTGAATGGGTTCATTTGCTCAGTCGCTGTTCCTGATCAGCGGCACCACCCCAATCTTCTTTTCTCCGACCAAACTCAATTCTACGACATGCGGCAGCCTTCCTCACTTGCATTAACTTCTTATCAAGCAGTACAGCATACGAAACAATGTAACTTGGGGGCCCTCTGAGGCCAAAATCTGATGAGCGCTGGTCCGTCGATGGCATGCCTTCATGTTCAGACTTGGCAAGGGTTGTGCGTAGCTTGCGCCCGAGACAGCAGCCTTTGAGGGATTCTCGCGTCTCTTTACCCCGCCTGAAATCCTACGCTAAATTCTTTCGTCAGCTTTCTAAATCATGGAGGCTGTCCCTGATGGAGGCGTTCGGTCGCGGGGGAATGCCCATCTCTTTATAATCGTGTTATATCGGGTAGAATGTGCCGTGCGAAATGACTAGTCTCGCGCAAGTTTCTCTGGGATTTCTCTCGGCTTTCGAGTGACATACCAAGCATCCTACTGAGAGCTAGCTCAATCGTTTAGTCCACCGCGTTCTCTGTGCCGATACCGTTGCCAACATGCTGAACCGCCGTGGGCCAATCTCAAAAATCGTCGGCAGCGCTGTCGATGCTGCAAAGAAATTCCAGGGAGATCAGAAACAACCGTCAGCAACGCAAAAAACCAACAATGTGCCCATACAGCCAGTCCAAGCAGGGCAATCAGTCGCATCTGGCCACACAACAGTAGCGCAACATCAAGCGACGGGGGATGATTCCGACGTTGACGAAGATTGGACCCGAGCACTGGATGAAGCCCAGCTAGCTCAGTCGCAGTCCTCCGGCAATCAGCATGGGGTACCAGTTGAAGACATCGAGGGAATGCTGACCGAATTCATCGTTCACCACCCGCCACCAGAGACCTCTAACCTCGGAAGCGAGAAGCATGGTCTGTCAATGCCAGTCATACTCCCGCAACGTCGCCCCGAGTCTCGACACCGCGGTTTCGTGCGAGCTTACGCCCCGGTCCTACAAGAATGCGGCATAGATCAAGCCGCCTGGCTGGAGTTCCTCGACGGTTTCGAGAACAGTATCAAAGGAAGCCCGTGGTTCGGGGTCGTGAACGCTGGCGTCATGGGTGCAGATCTCGCTCACACAATCGTTGGCGGGTTCGCGCCCATCACAATGCTGGTAACGCTCTCAGTGCAAACGGGGCTTGAGGCGTCGCGCAGGGGCTACGTGAACTACAAACAAAACAACTACCTCGAAGTCATGAACGAAAACTTTCTCAAACCTCGAGGCTTGTATGCCCTTGTTGTAAAGTACAAGCCGTCTAGCAGCGAAGTCGTGGAGAACATCGATCTGGATCACAATATCACCCAGGCCGTGGAAGGCAGCGAGAAACAGAGCAAGTGGAAGAAGCTACTGCACTCGGGTTCGAGTACAACAAAGAGCGAGGCCGAGATCCCCGAGCCAGCGCCGCTCGTCTTTCCTCAACTCGACAAGATGGATGAAGGGCAAAAGCAAAACATGGTGAAGAAGTTCGGAGACTCCATCTCGAAGTACTACGATCGAAAGGCGACAGACAGATTCAGGAAAGAACATCCTGATTCAAAGCTCATGCAAGAGGATTCATCTGAAGAAGAAGGTCTAGAAGCTTCGAGTTCGACGGATGGACACAAGGGCCCCATTCGACGTCTGAAGCAGAGACGCCAGGAACGCTTCGAGGCGTCAGGCAGAGAGCGAAAATTTGGAAAGGAAGCTCGCGAGAAGCGGAAGAGAAACCGGCCGCTGAAGAAGTTGATGCGGCAAGATGCTCTGTACCTGATGGTCGTCAACCTCCCAACTTCGGATGAGATGGATGCGGTCCTTGCTCAAGTCGAAGGACAGTGAGTGAGCTCTTAAATGACAAAGGTTGTATCTAGATAGACTTCTTAATTTCCTGCGAGGAACAGGGTGTTAATGTCTCCGTCTTTCATAGATCTGAATTTCATACTAAATAGCCAATTACGCCTACATCGATTTCGTATCAACATTGTGCACCCCCTTTCCAGTGACTGAAATCTCTTGTGAGGCCGAATCTTCCATGCTCGCCTCTAGAATCCTAGGTCCTTCGAACTTTGCAGCAATTTCTTCCAGCTTGAGTCCTTTGGTCTCCACAAAGGTAAAGTATGCTATTACAAGAAAGATTACATTCCAGGAAGCGTTGATGAAGTAGAATTTCCAACCCAAATCTGCCATAGCGTATGCCATAGTAAATGAAGCCAGCAGACTACCCTATGTTAGCAGAGAGTTTTGAAATAAATGGTGTGGTAAACTTGCCCGAATCCAGAGTCCAGCATACGGAAGATTGCGATCCCCGTAGCTCGAAGCTTGTACTGCGAAACCTCCGTGGGATATAGACTGGTCATTGGTGTGATGGAAAAGGCGTAGAACCCTTGGAATAGGAAGATGACTGCAATCGTGCCGTAGATTCCAGATTGATTGGTTGATTCACCATATGCTACAGAGATATTAACCATTGACCCTCGCTCAGGTCACGTTCACGACAGCTATGCCGGGCGCAGGCGTGGATCAGAACTCACTCTTAATGAGGCCTCCCGTAATGTAGAGCATGGCAATCATACCGCCCACACCAACGAAGGTTTGCTTCCTTCTGCCTAAAATGTCGAGCATGAAGCTGCCAAAGACCGCAACAGCAAATGACCAACAGTTCAGGATGACTTGAATCTGTGCTTGCTTCACTGTGTCCCTAATACCAGCCTGACTCAAGATCTTGGTCAGGTAAGACCTAGCCCCGGGTAAGCGAAAGTAGAAGTCAAGGTATCTGAAGGATGGCACTTACGAGATGATGAAGTTACCAAACATGTTGATCATGGGGCCAAATGTGCAAAGAATGGCGAGGCGTTTTCGATTGGCGGGCGTGGATACGATCTCTCTCCATGGGCTTCGAGGATACTCCTCTTCCTCCTTCTTCATAATGCTTCTGATCTCATGCAAACTCGCCCGTCCTTGCTGAATATCCTCGACGCCCTTACCTTGCATGATCACGAGAACCTCAAGAGCCTCATCATCATGGCCTTTCGCAATCAGCCAGCGTGGGGACTCCGGAACGAATGGCACCAGTATCACTGCCAACAAGCTTGGCACGAACTGAAGAAGAGAGGGAAGACGCCAAGACCAAGTGCTCTGGATGTTTTGGCTGCCGTAGTTGACAATGGCTGAGGCCAAGCTTCCCACATAGAAACAAGAAAAGAACAGACCGAGAATTCGGCCGCGCTTGCGAGCTGGCAGAAGTTCTCCGAGCAGAGTGGGAGCAGCGCCGTTGCTGATTGCAGAGCCGATGCCAACGATGATTCGAGCGATGATGAACATGGCAATGTTTTGCGCGGCGGCTTGGAGAATAATGCCGATTACTGTGATGACCGATGCGACGAGGATAGCTCTTCGACGTCCAAAGTAATCTGGCACCGGCTGCATCAAAAAGGCGCCCAGAATGCCTCCCATCCATGATGCAGCGTTGTTGAGACCTTCCAATGCAGGGGTCAAGTGGAAGTATTCGGTGTACGAGGGGAGGATAAGGAGACCGTTCATGACTGAGGCATCGTATCCTAGAGTCTTTCATCTCCTGGTTGGTAAAATGCTTCAGTTTTTGGGGAACTGTACCTACTGCCGAGTTTACAATGGCTACAGCCAGAAGCAAAGGAGACAACACCTTCAAGTTGGCCGGTACCAACCTGGAGACATGTTTACGCTCAAAACCCATGTTGCTAATGAGTGTCTTTGGAAATGAATTGCCTGACTTCTCTTCATTATCATTCTATATTGTCGCATGGCTTCTTGATCGCCCTTATATCCCATTAATTGTGAGTCGTGGTGATTTGTGATCTGCTCAAGTTGATTGGCTGTCTCGAGGGCTCGGGTGAGTTCGGGCGAGCCTATCGTGGCCCACTTGGTAACTACCGGCTGGCACAGAGTTACTATTCCAGATTGTCATCGCGGGGAAATGTCACCTTTCATACGAGCTTATTCACTCGGGCGAGCTCGGGCGGGTCTTGACAGACTGAATATCGGCTAGGCCGCCAGCGCGACTTGACATGGGCCGTCTTGGGGCATGGAAGATCGCATCGAAAATGTGGGATGACGGGCGGTGAATGATAAGCTACTTAAGATGGCATTTCTCATGCTTTTTGCCGCTAACATATTCAAAACCCAGCTCATCAGAAATCTGACGCAGCACAAGATTCCTTTCAAAGATGCCCGGAAGCGTCCGAGAGTGGCCCGCGTGGCCGGAATACACCGACAAGGATCCCCTTGAACCAAAAGATCCCGACTTTCTTGACATTAAGAAGGCAATCATATCCCAGTATGGCGCCGAGGCGTTGAGAGAAAGCTGGGTTCGAGTCTGTGAACAGCTCAAGTCGGTCACGGATGAGATAGTCGACAAGGGTCGAAGCATCATTCCAGTCTTCGACGCCCAAATGCTGCTCGACAAGGGTCTTACGGAAGCCGAAAGGGACGAGGTGAAGAGAGTCGGCACATTTGTCATTCGTGGGGTCGTTCCCAAGACCGAAATAGTTCAACACTACGCAGATCTTAAAAACTACGTCGCCGAAAATAAGCAGAAGATCCAGGGATGGCCAAAAGAGACTCCCTCGATGCTGATGCTGTACGATTCACCCACTCAGAACGCTATAAGATCGCACCCAAACCACCTTCAACTTCAACGCCTCCTCAACCAGCTTTGGCACGATGAAAATGGTGAAGATACTTCGCCAGACCCTTTAGTGTACTATGATGGAGTACGAGATAGACCTCCGCGACAAGAATTCCTCGGACTCGGGCCGCACATTGACGCCGGGAGCCTAGCTCGATGGGCAGATGCCGCATACAGAGAGGTGTACGGCAGCATCTTTTCCGGAAAACCTGAGCTACACGATCCATACGACCTCAGCCTACGAAAAGTCGCGAACCAAGAGTTGTATCCAGGCGTTGCTCATTCATCGGTCCTCCGCTCATTTCAGGGGTGGACTGCCTTGACACGGACTGCCCCAAGCGAGGGAACACTGCTCGTCTACCCCAACGTGGCTACTGTCATTGCATACATGGTGCTGAGACCGTTTTTCAGGCCTCCTGTCGACTCTGCGGATATGATGGATGCGACCAAGTGGACCCTCGATGACTCCGGCTTTTTCCCTGGAACGTTCAAGACCCAGAGCCAGCGGCTTAGTCGCTCATCGCATCCACATCTGAGACTATCAGAGTGCCTAATTCATGTACCGAAGATGGAGCCGGGCGACACTGTCTGGTGGCATGCTGATGTAAGTTTTGATGTGTTTTAGATTCAGCAGCCGCTAATCGTGTTTATGTAGGTCTGCCATGCAGTTGATCCGGTGCACGAGGGATCACAGAACGCATCTGTCTTATACATTGCCGCATGCCCCACGACTACAAACAACAAGACATATGTGAAGAAGCAATTGTCCGAGACTCTTGCTGGGAGGCCACCGCCAGACCAGCAAGAAGGAAATGACTTGGATGAAAGGACACTCAGGGGATACGTGGGACTGCAGGATCTGAGTGCTGAGGCAAAGCGTGCGTTTGGTTTTGGGTTGTGAAGTCCATGGGGCCAACCTGAAGACAAGACAAGAAAAATACTACTTGTTTCTATGATTCTCACTGTAACTCCATGTTAGCCTCATGCAGTGAAGACCTGAGGATGGCAACTGCCGTCTCTGCTATGGCGTTGCGTGATTTGACCTCGTCCAGGTATTCAATGGCGAGTTGCACCTCGTCCGTAAAGTCAACTTCAGCCCCGGCTTTTGCTCTATGGGATTCTCTGAGAAGAAAGATGGCAGCAACGAAGATGTGCATCGACAAAGCCCTTCAAAGAGAGTTAGAGCCTCTCCGGGCATTACGATATTCGGAGACTTACCATTGTCGTCGCATTGCGACTGGCTGATCCCAGTTATGGGTAATCCAGATGATATCCATAGCAGAACGAATACACACTGCCCGTGCCCAATCATACAGACCGGGAGCTGCTAGCCACTCCTTTTGTAATGAACGATTGATGCGCATACGATGGTGCAGAAGCACGAGACTGATGTCGAAACGTTGCCATTTGATCCAGGGATGGGTCAGCTCTAGCTCCTGCATTTCTTCGGTTTTGCCACTATCGGGTTGGAGATGGTTGGGCAAGGTGTTGATGACCTCTGCTAGTTCATCATCAGCTAGGCGAACGACTTCAGCCACTGATCGCGTGCCCTCCCGCAGTGCTGATCTAAATCTATGATAGACAGTCGAGGTTCGTGCCATGAATATGTGATACAGCACTGGGTGGGGACCTTCGTGATCAGATTCTGCCGAAGGCAGTGGAACATTGAAGTCTCCTTCGTCTACTTGAGGCACATAGTAAGGGACCGCAAGCCTATGTCGAGAATGAGCACTGCCTCTCTCATCTCACTTCTGAACGAAGACCTACCATTCACAAATGATCAAGGTCCACCATAGACGCCTTTGAGCTTCGAGGCCCAGCTCCGTAGGGGGATGTGGAGCTTGAATGCTGTCCAGCCCGAGATTCCGTGCGATTCGTATTGCGCAGCTCCAGAGATGACGGTATAGATCAGAATCTCCGAAATTGTGGAAGCACATGCCAAGTACTGCAATCGCCTGAACAGGGCGAATTGTGCTACTTCTCATATAATCTGCTTCTTCGAGACAGAACAAGGCAGTCCTGTACCACTGTTGTAGCATACTTCCAATGTCTCCTGAGTGCCGACGGACACAGTCAGACGTGGGCGCATAAAGTTGAGAAGGCGGGCATGGCTTCACCTGCAGGAAGTATCTCCCGAGCTTCCTTGTCATCCATCATCAATAGGGCAGCCTACTAGAGGTAGTCAGATCAGTGCTGTGACCTCGGAAAGATTGGTTCACGTAGGGACTGACCGTGATGACACTGAAATACACTGATAACCAACCAGGATCGCAATCAGACAAGACAGTGCCCTTTTCTAAATTATCCATAAACTGAGTATGTTCTTGATCGAACTCGGGATATTCAAGGGCATAGTGGACCCAGGAATTCCACTTCTTGTCATAAGCGATTAGCAGCTCGCTAGACTTTCGGCAGGGTACGTCAACCGTACTCCATCCTCGGCGATGTCGAGACACCTGTGAAGATGATGGAGACTTGAAAACCATTTCCTCCAGCGGGTCATGGCACTCCAACAAGTTTTGCGCAGTCCTCGGCTTTCGAAACGACGAATCAGAAGCGGAGCGGACCTGAGAGGCTTCAAGAGCTGTTCTTAGTCGCCGATTTTCCTGAACCAGCTCATCATATGTCGGCAACTTGACTGGATCTTTCCCTCTATGATTCAAACACCAGTCAGCTTATTAGAGAGAATATGCCCCAGATTGAGAAGCGACCTTGTAACTTCACCCCGCACCATCACGAGCTCTCGTGAGCATGTTTCAGGCGTACCCTGGCGAATGCAAGTTGAGCACGGTAATCTTTTATCGCACTTGACCTTACGAGCAGCGCAGGATCGACAACTTCGTGGGGCGCGCTGTGTCTTGCGATATGAAGACGGAGTATCAGACGACATATCTGGATTTCTTGATAGAGATCACTCCACATTTGGACGCGTCGAGCAGCGGTCTGGGCCGAGGCCACGTTAGTGGCGACAGAGACGTTCTCTCCAGCCACGAGCCTGGAATGGAAATCGAACAACAGGAACTCAAGGGTAATGTTGATGTTGTTTACTTTCCGGGCTCGTCATGTACGTCAAGAAATGAGACAAAGATACGAGACGAGATGTTGAAAGGCGTAAACTCACCCGAACTCAGCCGAGAATTCCTTATCAGCGATGCGATAAGATAAGTCCGTTCTTATCTCGGAAGGAACAACGGTACGTACTATGAGTGCACCGAATCCCCTCACATTGCTGGCCCTCGAATTTCATCAGATTCGATACCATCACCACATCACTCTCAATAAGATATTGCCTAGAATAGGCTCTTGAGCCGACAGACTCTACAGAATCTGCCAAGCGCTCTATTTCAAGGACCTCAAACACATAAGAGAAACACATCTTCAGCATGGCGTCAGCATTCCATGGAGCCGTCATCCACTCGCTTGGCCCAAAACAAATTGAGATACTTGACAGCGCCGGAATCATTGTTGGATCTGATGGACTAATTTCTGAGTTCTACACCCAAATATCCATCGAAGAGCTGTCCGCAAAGCTGCTCGGCGATCAAAAAGTCAAGGTTCTTGCCAAAGGCCAATTCATATCCCCTGGTTTCATCGACACGCACAACCACGCTCCGCAATGGGCAATGAGAGGCCAGGGGCAGGGCCTTCATATCCTGGACTGGCTTGATCAAGTCACATTTCCCCACGAAGCTCGCTTCTCCGACCCTACATACGCCCGCAAGGTCTACGAGAGCTGCGTTAAGGGCTTCCTCAAGCAAGGCATCACGACCGCTTCCTACTACGGGTCAAAACACGCCGAGGCAACAAAGATTTTGGCCGACATCTGCCATCAGCTGAACCAGCGGGCCTTCGTAGGAAAGTGTAACATGGATCGTAACGCTCCAAGCTACCTCCATGATGAATCAGCTGAATCGTCTCTGAAGGAAACGGAGGAATGCGTCAAACACATTCGACAGATTGACCCGACCGGACAGCTGATTCGCCCTGTCTTGACTCCCAGATTCGCTATTTGTTGCACCCCCGACTTGCTCGAAGGTCTGGGTCAGATGGCATCCCAAGACCCAGAGCTAGCGATTCAAACGCATTTCAATGAAGCCGAGCAGGAGATCAAGGCGACAAGAGAGCTGTTCCCACAGTTTTCCAGCGAGGCAGACCTCTACCAACACTATGGTCTCCTGAACCAGCGTTCAATTCTTGCACATTGCACCTTCATGACAGACTACGAGATGGACAGGGTCAAGGAGCTTCAGTGCGGTGTTGCACACTGCCCCATTTCGAACATGACAGTTGGAGGAGGCTTCATGGCGGCCTCCATACGTCAGTTTCTGACCAAGGGGATCAAGGTTGGCCTTGGAACCGACAGTGGTGGCGGATTTTCGTCAAGCATGCTCGACAGCGTCCGTCAGGCAATCATAGCTTCCAACGCACGCGAGGTCATGTCAGGCGGCAAAGACAAGGCGCTGTCTCTAGACGAGGTTTTCTACCTTTCGACTCTCGGTGGAGCTCAGGTGTGTTGTCTCGAAGACAAGGTTGGAAACTTCGCCATCGGCAAAGCGTTTGACGCGATACTGGTTACAAGCTCCCTTGATGAAGCATTTGGGGTCATGACAGTCCGAGAAGAGACAGACAGCCTTCGGACAGTGTTTGAGAAGTTTTTGATGACTGGAGATGATCGTAATATTGCTCAAGTGTACGTGCAGGGCAGGCTTGTGAAGGACACATTATAGACCTAAGTTGGGTTTTCAAAGAGAGTTTATGACTAGAGTCGAGTATTCGGAGAGTTATACCAACAACAAAAATGTTCTAGCCACGAATTATGATCTCTCTTGACTTGAATTCGCGTGCAGCCATCTAGAATTTTACTTGAGCCGTCTTGAGAGAAAATTGGAGACCGTCTCACGGAAGGCTTCCGGCTCATCGGTTGGCGAACTGTGACCGGACTTCTCAAAGATCGCGAGCTCGCTATTTGGGATACCTCTACTGATTTCTTCTCCATATTCAACAGGTACCACAACGTCATGCCTCCCGGTCGCAACGAGTGTTGGTGCAGTGATATCCTTCAGTTGTGACCGCACATCAAGCCGCGGAAGGTTGTAAGAGAAGGCAAAATTGTGCGTCTCGTAGTGCAGGTGCTCGTGTGCATCGTTTCCCTCAAAGGTTGTGTCTCTCGAGCCAACACTCGCGGAATCGTCTTTTGGCTTGTAGATTTCAACAATCTCTGCAAAGGCAGCAGCAAAGTCTTCGTTGTCTCGAATGTTGCCGCTGTTGAGTCGGACCTGCCTATCTGGGTCTGGTGTGATTCGGTCGCTGATGAGGATAGTCTTAATGAAGTTGAAGGCTCCACGAAGGCCGCATGCCCATGTGTCTCTCAGGATGAGAGCCAGGAGACGATCAGGATGTGAAAGAGCATACTGCAAGGCCACAAAGCCTCCGTAGGAACCTCCGGCTAGAACAAATTTATCTGCACCCGCCCAGGATCTGAACTAATATGTTAGTCGAGCCGCCATCAACGCGATAAGCAACAGTTCAGTCCTTACCTCAACTCGTCTATATCAGCCACCCAACGTTCATCAGTGTAAGGCGGCCTCAGTTCGCTTTTGCCGCTGCCTCTCGCATCATACACCAAAACTCGAAAATCGGAGGCTAAAAAGCCGAACGATGAAATCGGTTCTCTATGGTCGGATAAACCAGGCGCGCCATGCAAGACTATGATGAGAGGTTTGTTTTCGTCGCTGTCGCCGAGGAGTTTGACCTGGACTTTAGCCCCGTCACTAAGTTGAACTACGGAGAGGCTCGCCATGTTCTTACCGACGAAACTTCTTTGAGTGCTAAAGACGGTCTCTTGAAGCATGTGAGAGACCGGAGTTCTGCTTGGCCTTTTGTACACCGTGAGGGGATCATTCCGCTTATAAATCAGGTCTCGATTATGTGCATTATGTATCGAGTCACATCGCGTCATCTAACAACATTATGACACAGGAGTCAATAGTCATGCTTTTGACAGCCGAAGGATCGAGACTTGAACGGAAGTGGCAAGCTGTCAGATTCTTGTTTCAAGAACGAGCCAAAATCTGGGACTTTTGTCGCGGCCCATAGTTACCACGCTGGGTTGGAGAGAATAGAGGTCATCAAGTTGCATGATTCTACCCCGAACCAGTAAGTCTATTATTTGACACCGTGTTCATCGTTTTCGACATCTGGAATATTGATAATCACCCGATAAAACAATCGTTCATCTCCATCCAGCTTGATGACTCAGCACACAAATCAAAGCACTGAACGCTCTCTTTATAAGATAGACTGAGATTAAACCGAGACAATCAAACTGTCAAAATCACAGAGGGAGGCACCGTTGTTACAGAGGCCGGTTTAGAGGGTTGTTGAAGATGGTTAATCTTGAAATCAAGTCACTCGACGGGAACCTTGCTCTTGGTCACAAAACCAGCATCTTGAGTCACGCCTGCATTCTATCTAACATCACGGTCTCTCGGCTCGAAGGAAGGCACTCAATCCCACCACTGCTAACAAAAGTCTTGCCTTGTTTGGGTTTGGACGACTGAGACCTGACTGACCACTCGGAGCCCGCGCGAAGCTTTGCTTTCAGCATTACTTGATTAATAATTTGGAGGAGTTATATCAAATAATGAGACCCAAGCCAAGCTTAGGGCTCTTCGATAGCAAGCAACACGGATCACTTTCTGGTCATCCATCGAAATAAGCTCAGCCCTCCAGTTCTCCAGGGGCTAAAACAAGGGGAGACTGTCGCTGGAAGCAGAAATTCTAGCCTGGTATGGAGTGAGAAAGAAAGGGGCCAGCCAGATTGGGACATCAACCTTGGAACGAAGGTAGGACCCTTGCCTTCGAGTCTCGGTCAGACCGACGACAGGCCATAACATGCCATCTTTGAGAAAAGTATATGACGATGCTTATGCTCCAAGAACGAGTCTTTCACAGGTTCGAAGGGCTAGTGCAGCGACAAACGTCATGGGAGTAGCTTTCAGCAGAGATGAAACTTTACTGCGTGAATAGAGATCGCGCGAAGCCATGAGGGAACAATTTTCAGTGAAACACTGACTTCGGGATGAAATGTGCTAGGAACTTGGCTTTATTTCCTGACTCGTGATAGATCGGATGTAGCCGAATTGGGGGCCTTCTCCGCGACGTCCCCAGCTTGAGAACTACTTGGGTTCGAATGCCGAGAGCGAGCTCCGAGTGTTCATCCACTTTTTTGAGTATTTAGCACTTTGGAGCCTCGACCGACTGAATCGCAAAACTCAAAGCCTCGTCAATCAATCTCTCTGTCTACTAACAAGCGATACTTTGGGCAGAGAGCTTTTGAAGATATGGGGATCCCCAGAAACCAAACGATGAGGAATCGCAGCGTTGAGATTTGCGACACTTTACAAACAACACCTTTATTATTTCGCAGCTCTGTGAACATGGACTACTTTCTCTTGCCGACGGCATTGTCAACATTCGACATCGTCAAGTCAACAGGGCATACCCCGGACAACAATTAACATCTTTGGGCGAAAGCGGTGGAGTCGATTTTTGGCTCGCGCTTACAAACACACCTGTTCAATATCGCGGTCCCACAAGGCGCGGCTGAGCTCAACTGTCACTCTGCGGCGATGTTCCGAGCCCTAGTTCACGATGGTCGAAGTGGACTCTGATACTTTTTTAGCCCAAGGATCTCAAGGGTCTCCAAGGGGTTCTCGAGATGCTTCGTGAAGTGCGCCTTGAACAGTCTTTGAGCAGATCGATCATTGCATATAAAGTGCGTGACTTAGCCTGGTCAGAAGTATCACTTTACATTGCGAAACAGCAAAGTCTTCTATCTTAGTTACGACTACCTCGGATCTCACTCGTTCAAACTCCGTAGGCTCTCTCATTTTCAGTCGCTCACTGTACTCAATCATGAGACTCTCGTTTTCCACTCTTTTGGCCTTTCAGGCACTGGTCGGCTCTAGCATAGCCGCTGCTTTGCCGGAAAAGGCCATTCTTCGACCAGTCCAGAAGCGACAGGCCTCCATCCCATCTACACCCCTTGGACCAGCCAAATTCACCCCGAAGACCAACGTTACCTTGCCCTATGAAGGGCTCAACGCTACCAACGCCCTCGTCCGGGCTATGATGAAGCAACCTGCCGTCTTGTTAGAGAACATCGAGACAATCACCGATGTTGAGTGCTCGACTGCTGGACTTGTTCTCAAATTTAGCGTTACCGAAGACTACAACACATGCTTGAGCACATGGCCAGCAAAGGACTTCATCATCATCACGAACCACAATGGGACTTGCGACAGCGAGCACGAGCGCGGTGTCTATGTGGTCCAGAACTACACCTTTGACAATGCCACCTTGACTCTTACTGCTTCGTCTACCAAAGCAGAGATCAGTGATCAGATGAATGACGCAGTCATCGATTTCCAGCACACCGGCACTGCTACGACCAAGCGTGATCTCTCCGGAACCATTTCCGCAGACCTTTCTGGCTCCACGCTCGTTGCGACGGACGCCTTGAATATTGTCGCCAATGAAGCCAAGCTGGAAAGCACAGTCACCTTGGCCGGCCATGTTCACTACAGTTTTCGGAAGTTCAAGGTTGACGAGTTCTACATTGATGTAGACTACTCGTCTGCTTTGAACCTCAATATCTCTGCTGCAGTCAACGCCCAGTATTCGACCAACTTGTACAACTACAACCCTCTTTCCGTATCTGTTTCAGCCTTCACTATTCCCGGCATCATCGATGTCGGCCCCATGATGAACTTCGGTCTCGGCATCGAATTTGCTGCATCCGGTGTTGTCAAGGCGTCTGTGGACGTTGTCTCAACTATTGCCGATGCTCAAGTTCACCTTGACTTTTTGGACTCCGCCAAGACCTCTACAACAGGCTGGAAGCCGCAGACCAATGTCACCACGGATATCACTGCTCAAGTTGAGCTTCAGCTAAATCCGTTTGCTGACCTGACCGTTGCCCTGGGGGTCAAGCTTTTTAACGGTCTCCTAGACATGTCTGCTGGAGTCGAGGCGAAGCCTCAGGTCGTCAACGTATTTGCGGCGGACTTTGACTTCGCTTACACCAGCGCCAGCGGTGTTACCTTTGCAAAGCCTACTGAGGATCAGTGCAAGAATGGCGCTTGGTTTGCTAGCACTTTCCACTTGGGCGTTGATGCATATGTCACGCAGTTCTACACCAAGAAATTGTACGAGGTCGATGTGCCGATTTACCAGTCGCAATGCTGGAATTTTGTCCACTGAATATCACTTTAGCTTAATGGTCTAATAACGAAAACTGTTCTGAACGATTCTAGAGACTTACGTGATATCTTTACGCTACTGTGTCCACAGTGGCCAAGGAAAGCCATACCGTTGTAGCTGTGACCGAAATATTGAGAAGAGGCACTCACTCTGCAGCATTTACAATAGTTCTCGGGTCAACATCTACTCTGACAAGCATGCTACTATCAATAGCATAATCCAGGTGATGCTACTTTTCCTACGACATATTGGCCCAAGTCCATTCAGTGTGTGTCTAGTACAGCAAGGAGTTACGACCAACTCTATGCAGCGATTTGCCTACTTACGTATATGCAGCAAAGACTGAACCTCAATATTAAATGTGATAATTGGTATGAGAGATTTGAAGTTGTAGACATCCAATCCAATGGAGTCTCTGTCTTTCTCATAAGTTCACGTCGGGGCGGACTAAGTGAATTGGGAATAGAAAACCCGAAGTCCTAGATTGCCAAATCACATAATTAAATAGACTGGTGACGCTATCAAAACCCCTGCAAATTCCCACTCAGCGAGACTCAGTCGCGGTAAACAGCAGCAACCCCTGCTTTCACGGTGCTTGGCGTTCAGGGCATATCGCAATCACCTTCCCATCGCAGTAGTAGTGACCGTCTTGGCCTGGATACGAGATGAAGTGATGATCGTAGCACAGCTTTGAATAGAAGGTCGTCGATGTATGATTAACTCCATTTTGCTCTTCGTGTAGAATGACACGATGGAGTCGGACTATTCTAGCGACGTACATAACGTCCCTTACCTGCTCCACGACAAGCACTTGCTAGTGTGGTCTTTCAAGATCAACTGAGCTAGTCACATCATCGCATAATGTCTAACGTCAAGCGCATCGTCGTCTTATTAGGTTTCTCATCGGGTATTCTGGCCAGCCCGTTGATCGCGAAGGTTTCCAGCGAAGACACTATCATACCCGACAAGTACATCGTTCGCATTGCTTCAGGCGCCTATGACATAGACTTTGAGAGCCACTTGAGCTGGGTTACCAACGTCCACAAGCGCAGCCTGTCTCGTCGGAGCACTGCTGGAGTTGAGAAGACCTTTAGCGTCGGCGACTTCAAAGCTTACGCAGGCGAGTTCGACTCTGAGACAATTGCGGAGATTGAAAAGGACGGATATGTGAGTGGACTTTGTGTTTCTGCAACCAAATGCTCAAAGACTGATCTCGGGATACAAGGCCGTCAGCGTCGAGCCAGACCGAGTTGTTGAGGCGACAGCCTTGGTCACACAAGCAGCTGCTCCGTGGGGACTTTCGAGCCTGTCTTCGACAACTCCCCTAGCAGACGGCAGCAGCTCCGGCCCTTACATATTCGATAGCACCGCTGGAGAAGGGACCTACGCCTACGTTCTCGACTCAGGAGTCACCATTGAGCATGCAGAACTCGGGGGGCGCGCCATTCGAGGCTACAACGCCTGGGAACCGAATTACCCTTTTGAAGACGAATTCGGCCACGGCTCCCATGTTGCCGGTATTATTGGCGCAGCTACATACGGCGTGGCGAAGAAGGCGACCGTCGTCGACGTCAAGGTCGTTCGGGGCCTTGTAAGTGCACCGGTTCGTGGAGGCCTGGGAATTGCATCGTTAGCTAACTTTGGAATCTGTACTAGGGCTACTCAACGGTTGCTCATGTCTTGGATGGGTACAGCTGGGCCGTCAACAATATCACCAATACCCCAGGACGGGTCTCCAAGGCTGTCATTAACATGAGCCTAGGTGAGTTGAACACAAGAACACGCACGCCCGATCTTGGACTATGCAGTGAAAGATTAGCTGACTTTACCAAAGCTTTCCCAAAGAGCGACGCGATGAACTCTGCAGTAGATGCAGCTTTCGATCTGGGTGTCGCAACCGTGGTTGGTGCCGGAAATGATGGCAAAGACGCTTCGACCAAATCTCCCGCCTCAGCTCAGAAAGCCATCACTGTCGGCGCGGTCGCTTGGAATTGGACTCGTGCGGACTGGAGCAACTTTGGGGCCGACGTCAACATCTTCGCGCCCGGTCTCGACATCCCATCGCTTTGGAGGCAGCCTGGACAGGTGTCGGTGGTTTCTGGAACGTCCATGGCAACACCCCATGTCGCCGGACTCGTTGCCTATCTCCAGGCATTGTATCCCCTGGAGAATGCGGCAGCTGTTGTAGAGAAGTTGAATGAGCTCGCATTCAAGGGCGTTGTAGGGAATTCGGGAAGTGGGAGCGCAAACGTCCTCGCTCACAGCGGTGTTGTCTCCGTCTGAGTTGCATCATAGACGAGGGGTAGAAGAAGACGGAGCTCGATTTAAGAGGGCCTGCATGTAAGCTCATGCCATGATAATGCAGCCAAGCAGTGCACTCGGAAGGTGTTAACATGACGATTATCATAAGCAGTTCAGCGCATCCTGCGAGATACGCATTATGGGGTTCTTGTCACTTACTTTAGCTATCTCGCGGCTATAGACGCAAGTCCATGCAGAGCCTCGGCAGTCTATTTCTAGTTCCAGTGCGCCGGACATGTTGCAGAAACAGGTCGAGAAGAGAAATGTTCGGCGAGAATTGCGGAGTCAAGTTGGATTCCTGCGCGTGCCGTGCATCTTTGCCCGTCTCCTCACCAAACCACATCCCTAAAGACCCTCTTATTCTCCAAATACGTCATGCAAAAATGAAACTTGGGGTAAGACTGATGGATCAAGGATCCTACGTGTATCACTTGCAGACATCTCAAAGCGCCGGGGAAGCTCTTGTGGACTTGACAGCAGCTTCATCGAATGGTTCATCAACGTGAGATCTCATAGCTAAGGTAGGGGTCACCTTGGGTCCCCTCCTTCCCCCGCACTCTACAAAAGGCAGTAATTCGCCGATGAGGGACTCTTTACTGCGTAGTCTGAACTCTCGGGGGTTCGGAGTTCATCCTCGTGTACCCACTCGGGAGCAAACACCAAGTCCCCCAGTCGTCTTCCCACGCATCAACCAGCGTGAACCAGCGCCAAAACATGCCGGACACAAATTGGTACGCGGCGGCATCCCCGCGTCTTGGCGAAAGTTTCCCGCACTACCCCGCAGCGGCGCAGCCCACTATCTCGTTCTAGAAAGATATCCCGCGGCGATGACGGTCCTTGACTGGGAGCCGGTCATCCGGGGCCTATTGAGAGATGGGGAAGATATTCTTGGTGATTTGTTCGGTAGATGGGTTTCGTGAGGGGTTCATGGGATAAATATGTCCGTTGCTGCTCGAAGGTGCGCTTGAGCTTCGTAGGTTGACCTCAATCATCAAACCTTCACTTGTAGCCCAGAAAGTAATCGCCATCATGTCGTCTCCAACAATGAAAGCTGTCAATTACCAGGGCCCTTACAAGGTCAAGGTATCGGAGGTGTCGTTGCCCAAGATTCAGCACCCCGACGATGTCATCGTCAAAGTTACCACTGTAAGATGGACCTCTCTCCTCCCACATGACTGAAGCTAAGCAAAATTTCAGGCAGCTATCTGCGGCTCAGACTTGCAGTAAGTCTACTGACATTGAAGCAACATCAGCGCGCAGTCACTCACTATTCATAGCATGTACGAGGGAAGAACGGCCGCAGAGGCCGGCATCACATTCGGTTAGTCACTGATTACATTTATTTACCGATCATGGGACAGTTTCTGATACGTTGCAGGCCATGAGAACATGGGAATCGTGGAGGAGCTTGGCGCCGGTGTCACTCTTCTCAAGAAGGGAGATCGTGTCGTAATGCCATTCAACGTCGCCGATGGCCGCTGCCACAACTGTGAAGAGGGACGGACAGCATTCTGCACTGGTGTAAACCCTGGATTCGCCGGTGGTGCTTATGGTAAGCCAGTATCTCGTGTATATCAACAAAATATGTGAGCTTACACGTCTTGAAGGATATGTTGCCATGGGCCCCTACCCTGGTGGGCAAGCACAGTATATCAGAGTTCCTTACGCCGATTTCAACGCTCTGAAGCTTCCTGCTGGCAAAGAATTTGAGTCAGATTTCATTTTGCTTGCAGGTACGTACTATCTACCATCTCCATGGTCCTCCAAACTTTGCTGACTTTGTGCGCTCTACCAGATATCTTTCCCACTGGCTGGCACGGCATCGAGCTCTCCGGCTTCAAGCCCGGCGAGAGCGTCGCTGTTTTCGGTGCCGGCCCTGTGGGACTGATGGCCGCTTATTCGGCAGTTCTCCGCGGCGCATCAAGAGTTTATGTGGTCGATCGCGTTCCCGAGCGTCTTCAGTCCGCCGAGAAGATCGGATGTACACCCGTAGACTTCACCCAAGGCGATGCTGTCGAGCAAATTAAGAAGCTGAATGGCGGAGAAGTTGACCGCTCTGTGGATGCTGTTGGATATCAGGCCGTGAGTGCCGGTGGAAACACTGAGCAGCCCAACATTGTGTTGGAGAATATGATCAAGGTCACACGAGCCTGCGGTGGACTTGGCATTCCAGGACTTTACGTTCCGAGGTAATATTTTTCACTTGGCTTGTTTTGCGGCTCTAACGATGCACGTTTATAGCGACCCTGGGGCGTCCGATGATTCTTCGGCAAAGGGCATGATCAGCTTGAGCTTCGGTAAGCTCTTCGAGAAGGGACTCTCCCTTGGAACAGGACAGTGCAACGTCAAGGCGTACAACCGATACCTACGTGATTTGATCATCGCGGGCAAGGCCAAGCCCAGCTTTGTCGTCTCACATGAGATCAACATCGATGATGCAGAAGTCGCGTATGAGAAGTTTGACAAGAGAATCGACGGCTACACGAAGGTTCTGATCCACCCCAACGGCGGCTTCTAATCTATATGGACGTGTTTGAGGTTCGGGGAGTCGGCGGCCGTTGTCATATTGAAAAGCAAGAGGCTAGGGGCGTTGTTGATGGTGTTGTGAGTGGCTAGGCGGCATAGCGAGGTTTCTTGACCACATGTTGTGAGATGATGCTCAGCAGCATGCAGAGATATTCAATTTGATCATTTCTTGT